TGGCTGCTGCCGTGTGTTGTCTGCCTGTGTTCAGTGCCCTGTGAGCGGGAGACGAGCTAAAGCACGTCTTACCGCTCCATGCGCCTGGCCACGCCCACTATTGCCGTGTGATGTTTAAAGGTTTTAATTTCCTCCAAAATTGGCTTTTTCCCTGAACACTGGTCCTGACTTCTGTTTTAGGGTGCCTCCTTTCCCTTGGGGAGTTCTATGGAGCCAACCTTGTGTGTGCTTGTAAGTTGTGTGTGTCTCGACAAAGGCACAGCCAGGCAAGACACTGCCCTGCTCCCCACTCCTCCATCCTTCTCCCCTCTCCAAGCAAGTAGACAGTTGCTGCGGTCTGTGCTGTCCCCTGTGATAATGTACTGGGCAGGAAGTTCAGGGAAGTGAGCTGAGAATGTTGGAGTCAACTGTATGTGCTTGGGCAAAATTCTCAAGAAATACTTTGCTGGACGATGCACACTTGCTGGCTGCTTTTATTAGGTACACCTCTTCAACTGGCTGATTAGATATTTGTGTTAACGAGCAATCACATGGCAGTAACGCACTACATTTGGGCATCCAGACATGGTCAAGATGGTCTGCTGAAATTCAAACCGAGCATCAAAATGGGGAAGAAAGGGGATTTAGGTGACTTTAAACATGGCATGGTGGTTGGTGCCAGACGGACTGGTTTGTGTATTTCTGCAACTGCTGATCTACTGGGATTTTCATACACAACCATCTCTCAGGTTTACAGAAAATGGTCTGAAAAAGAGAATATCCAGTGACCGTCGGCTCTCTGGGCAAGAATACCTTGTTGATGAGGAGAATGGCCAGACTGGTTCAAGCTAATAGAAAGGCAACAGTAACTCAACCACTCGTTACGTCCGAGGTATGCAGAAGAGCATCTCTGAACGCACAACGTGTCGAACCTTGAAGCAGGTAGGTTACAGCCACAGAAGACCACACTGGGTGCCACTACTGTCAGCTAAGAACAGGAAACTGAGGCTACAGTTTGCAAGGGCTCACCAAAATTGTAAAATAGAAGACTGGTCTGAGGAGTCTTGATTTGTGTTGCGACATTCGGATGGTCGGGTCAGAATTTGATGTAAACAACATGAAAGCATGGATCCATCCTGCCTTGTATCAACGGTTCAGGCTGGTGTCGCTTCACATCATGGATGTGCAGCCGACAAATCTGCAGCAAATGTGTGATGCTATCATGTTTCTAAGGAATGTTTCCATCACCTTGTTGAATCTATGCCATGAAGAATTAAAGCAGTTCTGCAGACAAAAGGGGTCCAGCCCGATACAAGTAAGGTGTACCTATTAAAGTGGCCAGTGAGTGTTTATTTCTGACCTGGATTTATTGACAAGTGTGAGTGTTTAATATGACTATGAAAAGTCCACCTACAAATACACAGCATACCATTGTTGTGACCTGAAGAAACAAGCAATCTAATTTGTGCAAGATGGAAACTTCAAGACCTTCTGCAATCCTTTTGGGCAGAATGGATAGTCAATGTATTGTAAAAGGTTTTCTGTGTGAAAAATATGCAAAGTAAGGCTACGTTCACTCCTAGGTGATTGAGCTGATGAGATGTGTTTGCGCGGTTGTCATGTGTTTTTGTTTGCACGATTTTGCTTTGAAAACTGTGCGTTTTGTAATGCCTAGAGATGTCTATGGGACCCAAATCACGTGCCAACCCTCCGAAAATAGCTCCTGCGCTTTTTTGTGCGACAGGCGAATTCTACCGTGCGACAAATTGCAAAGGTGTGAACAGCTTCCATAGAGTTGAATGCAAATCTCTGTTTTGTTCAAGCCGTGCGATTAAATCACCTAGGTGTGAAACTACCCCTAATGTTTTTCTATGTAGAAAGAAGTGGGCTTGACTGTACTTACCTTCTCCACTCCCCTGACACCCTGATCTTCCACTAAATCAACGTTATTCTCCCCAAGTGACAATGCTCAGGGTTTGGTATGCTGCTTTAGGCACTAAGCCTGCATTCACACCCGAGTGACAGGAAATATGCATTTTTTTGTGTAGCATGTCTTTTTTGCATATATGCACATACATAGTCGCACGTTTTGAAGAGCAGATTGTAGCACATTGATGTGAATGGACAAATGCCCGTTTTTGAGCGTTTCCATTGAAGTCTATGGGGCCAAGAAGTGCAGAATCTGCCAAAAAGAAGCTCACTAAAGGTGCCCATACACCTGCCGATTATCGTACGATAAGCGTGCGACCACTTCTACTGTGAGGTCGCACGACTTTCGTCTTCCGAGCACACTGGAAAACCTGCCAAAAATTGTACGATTTTCAGCGGGTTGGTGGTGTGCTCGGAGGACGAATGCCGCAGGGCCGGTGTGCGCAAGCGCACACTTGCCCGCTCAGCACTGCAATCATCGGAAGCCCTCCCCTCAGCAGGGAGGGCTTGCGATGATCGCACTTACGATCTGCCTGTCCAAGATGGGCAGGTCATACGAAATTTTAATCACCTTACAACCATCGCACAACGAAAGTCGTGCGATGGTTGTAAGGTGTATGGGCACCTTTTAGTTTCTTCAAGAGATGGGCATTTGTGCTACAAACGACATGACGCTCAGATGTGCACATGGCTGTAGAAATTAATGGTAATAGTTTTTTTTTGAGCAGAACAAGCGCTACAAAACGCTCAGTGTGAATGAGGGCTTAATTGTAAGAGGCAAAGAGAAGAGTTGTATACCTGATGCAATGGGTAGGTCTTGGGCTCTGGTGGTGACAGGCAAGTACTGCCTGCAAATGGTGTTTTCTATACAACAGACCTGGTGTTTTGTTTAGTATGGACACAGTACAGGTTGATTTCAAGTATTGTGCATTATAATTAGTCACGTTCAGACATTGTTCTGTTAACTTTTTTTTTTACTGCAGACTTTTCTTTCTCCTGTCTAAGATTAGATCTTTGAGTATTGTTTTGTGTCCTTTCTATATCCTTTTTTTTCTCAGGGTAGAGAGAGGTTTTGAAAGAACCAATCTGCTAATTTGGAAGCTTCCTTCGTTACATTCCAGAGAATGTTTCAGCTGCTGTCCCTCCATTAACAGCTTCTCGCCATGCACACTTGGCTGCCTTAAGCCAGACCATTTTCTCAAATATTTCTCGTCTCTATGTGGAAAAGAATAATAAAACAAACCTTAGCTTTTCATGCAAGCTAATCATTTCTACATATTTTAACATAAGCGAATAATGGATTAATGCCAGAAAATTCAATTTTTTTTTAAGGACAATTCTAGCCAGTAACAGCATGTTCCTGAATTATCAAGAATTGCAATAGAATGCTGCTGCTATAAACTGTATTCCATTTCAGGCTTTCAGTAGTATAACAAGAGCGTAACAATGGATGGTATTCATTTGTATATTTGGTGATTTTAGTTTGGTACCTTCTATTAAGGGGCCCATACAATCTTCGATTTCCGTTCGGAAATCTTCCATGAATGGTCTTTCGAACAATAATCGATCAGTTAATAGAATCCCAACGATTTATTTTTTTTCTTCTGTAATCCCGCTCGAGTTTTCTGGAAGGGTCAGGCTGGAAAACATTTTTTCGATGGATACATACGAAAAAAATTGCAACAAGAACACTGCAAATGCGCAAACGAAAATCCGTTGTGTCGATTGACAAAATTCGGTGCGTTAGTATTGCTAACAAACGATTATCGAAACGACATTGGTCTGTGCGTGATGGGGTAGTTGATTGGAAATTGAGCGCAAGTTTGATGTAGGCACAAAGGAAATCGAACGACAGTCGCGGAGTGTATGGCCAGCTTTACTGGGGATCATCTTGCTGTTTCTAAACTTGATATATTCATCCAATGCCTGGGGGAAATGTAGAAAACATGTATTGTGCTCTACATATCTTAAAATGTTACTGTCAGTAAATCTGTAAAAAAGATAAGTCATGGCAACTGGACTCGCTGTATTTTTCTTGAAGACGTTTCACTGGTCATCCAACCAGCTTTCTCCATTCAGAATGACTTGTACAAAATTATTTGGGAATAAATATGGTGACTGTTGCTCCAATCCACATAATCTGTTTGTCTCAATAACCTGCCCAGAGAGAGGTGTTGACCATTGAAACATCTGCAAGTAAAATACAGCAAGTCCAGTTGACGTGACTTATTTTTTACGGATATACCATGTGACCTGGATGAATGAGAACCATCACAGACTTACTGTCAGTAAAGTAAAAGCTACACTTAGACATTTATAGCACAACATTATGTTTCTCAGGGAGTATACATTTTGTTCTGTTTAGTGTAAAGATGGAATTGGTCTCTTAAACTATAAGGCCGGAGGATTGCATTTACCTGCTTCCAGTCTATTTCCACTTTCCCAGCCAAAGTGGGATAACATCTACTTTATATTTGTTACATATTCCCATAGCTTAAGAAAGATTTCAAAATTGTTGTACTGTGCTTGCAGATTTCATTGTCGGTTGTAAAGTCGATTTGAGCACTGTCTGTCCTAGCAAAAGGTTAAAGATTTAGAAGCATTGTATATTTATGAGAGAAAGCTCAGTTTGTCCCTCTACTTTCTCCTTCAAACTGTTCAGGGTAGCCTGGAATCTGGAAAAAAAATTTCGGTATGATGTGTGAAATGGGAACAACTATATTGGGGTTTCTGAAATTTGACTGCAGGAGTGGAAATGCACTTGAAGTTAAATTTGCTTTTTTTAATTCAATACTGGTCTCCACATGCAGGAAATGTTGGATATGCAGCCCAAAATTATTTTTTGCTATTTGTTTTTGCTCTGATTCCCTGTTGGGGATGCTTCCCTTTATTTCTTATACTGCTGTCACAGGTAACAATAGATGAGAGGACACCACTCTAGTGAAGTCATAGCCAGCTATTTAAAAAAAAATGTTTGCCTGGAGTTGGGTTATGAAGAAAAGTGGTTTTTAAACATGTCAATATGAACAGCTCTTGTTGCATGATTGCACCTTTTGACATGACTGACTACCTTTTTATTCTCTCTTTTTTAGGTTTGGCCTTAGCAACAAATTTGAAGCGGAGTTTCCATCCTCATTAACTGGCAAGGTATGTATACAGTTCATGGTAAATAAATTTTCTTGATATGATTTGATTTAGGTATATTGTTCTAAGGAATGTTTGTTTGTACTCCTAGGTAGCCCCCGAGGAATTTAAATCCAGCATTAACAGAGTCAACAGTTGTCTTAAGAAGAACCTTCCAATTAATGTCCGCTGGCTGTTGTGTGGATGTCTTTGTTGTTGTTGCACGTTAGGATGCAGCATGTGGCCAGTTGTGTGTCTTAGCAAAAGAGTAAGTTCATGAAATTTCTTTTATTTTCTGTCATGTCGCATTATTCCTTCAAATGTGTTGGTAAACACCAGTTAGTACGAATCTGGTTGGTCAGTGTTTCTTTTGCACTCACTATTTTGAGCACAGTAATGTATAGTTGAGGAGGTAGACTAGCAAAGGTGTGCTTTTTGGTACACATAGGAAACCAGTGATCAAATCTTCACAGATTTCAATGAAATTAGCCAGCACAGCACAGCACAGACAAGGTTAACAAATCCCACACAACCCCACCTAACATTACAAAGAAGAAGCAAGTAGAAATGTTAACCCTTAAACTCTAACCCAAGGAAAAGCAATTTAAATGGCAAAACTGATTTTTTAACTTTTGTTGGCACAAACAGTAAATCATAACAAGTTTCACATAATAAATATATTATTGATTATTGTCTGTGCACATTAGTGTTTTTACTGGAATTATGGAGGGATTTAAGGTCACTATGATGTCATGGGGTGAATCTTGACGCATTTCTTGTGTTTTCTCACTATAAAAATGTTGAATCTGTACTGTTTGGATTGTCACTGTCACCTTGAGGAAGGGACCCTGCGTGACCCCAAAAGGTTGGCAAGATGACTACATGTGACAAGTGAATAAATGTGCTTATGCTTCATGCACAAAATTGAGTGCTGGTGACCTCCATTATCAATCATACAGTGACACGGCGCCATGCGTGTTGTCACTTCAAGCAACATTTGGAATTAAAGGTCTGTATGGAGTACAGGTGACTCTCAAACACTGGTTTGACAGAGTGATATCTACCCTTGCTGAGACTGTTTACCGTGCATCATGTATGAGGCAAGAGGAAAGGGAATGATGTCTCCATTTTCTGAGAGTGGAGAAAATAACTAATAACTGTAACACCGTTTAAAAGCCCAGATCCTGCCTGGGAGACCTGAAAAAGCCACAAGACCCATCGGTGTGCAAGTGTGCATGTATGCACTATTTTTAATTTGCAATTTTAAAGTGCTTGCGTAAAAACACCTCCACACCTATCAATTGGAAATCAACCTATTTATGTTTTAAAAGTTGGTGGTTTACTGTATAAATCCACTTGTGTACAGATCCAATATGCAATACATACTTTACAGAAACAGATTATCAATGTAGTGTGCCAGTAACTTATGTATAAAAGTTCGTGTTTTCCCACAACTCCATAATTTTTTCCTTTTTCTGTGAACTTTTTCACCAAAACCGAAAATGTTCACCACACAGAAAAGGGAAGGACAGGGGGAAATGGCTATTATCACTCAACTTTAATAGCAATAAAATATAAATCATAGTATTATAGAAATGTATAGTAATATAACAGTATTATGATTAAGCTAATAAAAATAAATCTGATCTGGAAACAAAACTAAAAAAATGAAACTAAACATTTCATGATTGTGTGGTTCATTTCAAAATGGCCACAGTGTATAATACTTTTTTAAAACAAGTCAATGTAGCTTGGATAAAGTCACAAGTGTTTTTCAATGTGTATTACTTTTTTGCACCATAATGCCTAGAACTGAATGTTAATGTTATAATAATAATATTATTATATTGGACAAACCAAATTTTTATTTTCCAGCCTTTGACATCATTCATTTCACATTATAGCAGCATAAATTAAGTCTTCTGAAACTGATGCATGCAGTAGAGCTAGAGGACCCAGCTTTACTTTTGTACATGTGACAATTAATGTGCCATTGTTGTGAGCTAAAAATATTACTCTCCAATCAAGTGTCCCATTCTGGTTTTGTGTGCTGTCACCTGCCTTTCGCTGGGAACCAGTAATATGTCAAGTGTGCTGATTAATTGGGCTGCACGTGCAGGAGCTTTTTACTTTCACCTGTCACAGCTGAGAAAAATGAAATGCATAATAATGTGTTTTGCCACTTGATCCCAAGCTCTTACCATAGAATTATACATTCATGGTGTAAGAAGAAAATAGATGGTCGTAGTTGCTGCAAAATTGAATCAACATATGTCAGATATTTTAGTTTTTTGCATTTTGTATAAGGAAATGTTAAGTGTGTGTATGTAAAATTACACTTTATTTCTTTCTAGGCTGTAGGGGTTTTTTTTTTTTCTTTCATGGATTACATGATTTTTTGTAATTGGAAATAAAGGCAGAATATTGACAAAAACTCCAGGCATTTGTAATGGTACCATTTAGATCTATATTGCAATTTATCAAAAGTGAAAGGAAAGCTTGGAGTGTCTTTTTAAAGCATTTCATTGTAGTCTTAAAATCATGAGATTCTATGGCAAAAAAAAAAATCATAGTGAAAATGTAAAGGCAAATGTAGTATAGCCTGATCATGTTGTAAGCAGGTAGTGCAAAAGTAGCATTTAGATTTGGGTATCTTAATCCCTTGCCATTGATTTAGCAGCGGGTGGGCAGGCAGATGCCTGTTCAGCGCAGAACCTATTGCCGTCTTACACCATTGATAGAGTAGCCTTTCAGAGTCAATGAGCTTCTGTCAATATAAGCTTGTCAACCCTACAACTTCATAGACTCGAGAGGCGGTTTAAGGGGTCAGCCCTTTTCAGGTTTGCTGTGATGCAAATGAACTGTAATGCTTAAACAACTATTGGAATTTTTATGTCTGCCCCTTGTTCTTTTTTTTCATTTTTTATTTTTTTCTTCTCACCCCCTTTTTATTTTTCTAACTTTTTTTTTGTTTCCTCCCTTCACAAAGTCATTGACGAGACATTCGGTGCTTTCTAAATTGGAAGTTGCATTGTGCTAAAGACCCAGTACAGATTTACGGAGGCCTGAAAGCAGTTAGATCATGTTCTTTTCATGGTGCGATTAGAATCAAATCGATTTCCCTACAGCCTTCAGCATTCAGATGGCAATTTGAACAAAGCTTGGGGCTAGACAAGGGACAAAACGACTGAACTGAATGTTAATTACACTCCACAGCCTTATTTTCTTTTGATTTGGAGCTGACTGGCAACTAAATTAACACAAAGTGTGACCATAACTGCAGCCTTATTTTCATTTAAAAGGGAAGCAGCCTCTAAAAAGGCGATCTTAACAAAAAAACAAGCAGGGTCCGCTGATCTTTGTCAGCTCAGGGCACTGTTTCACTTTGCAGAAATGCGCAGATAATGAATGTAATAAATTTAAAAAGTGACACTTGCGTCTAAAGTAAACTATTAGGTTCCCACTCGAACAGAATGTCTCCTGAGAGCACAGGGGCCCTATTTGGTTATTCATTTCAATTGAACCCTAATTGGTAATCAAGCGGATTATGTTTTTAGTGCATGCTAGTGGTAATTATCTGATGGACTTAATTGCATATTTTAAGTCTGGCAATGGAATATAAAAATCAACTTGTTGATATGGCGATTTCGCAAACTTTATTGCTCAGTGGTAGTAAAAAGGCTTAACAGTTTCTCGGGGCTGCAGTCAGTGTGGTGCAGTATAGGACATCGTTTCTCATTTTTTAACTGCAGCTGCACTTGGTAGGCAGGGGACCGAGCTGTCACTTTGCACCTGCAGTTGGCTGTGGCTTCTAACACCTGGCATCATTTATCTGCTCTGGTCCCAGAATTATCTGCTAAATCACAACTCCTTTTCTTGCATTGCAGCTGAACAGTCTTTATCTTTGCTTAAGTTTTTAAACATTTGAGGGCAGTAAGCAGCAATTGAAAGTCCACTATACTTCAGTATAACGGTGACATACCATATACTTCATATGACTTTGTCAAAATGTTTGAATAAGGCTAGTGATCTTTAGCACAGATCAACAAAAAAGGAGTTGTGCTGTTAGAAATAAAGCAAATTTGCTACATAAATCAGTATAAAAGTGTTGCGTGCAGTTAGCTCAAGGTTTCTTATACACCATCAGTATCTTGCCGGTCCTATGTTCTTCCTCCGGCAGCGGGGGACAGGCATTTATCCAGGACTGAGTGGTGCTTAAGTCATGGCATGTGAGCTTCTCAGCCCTGGAGTACTGTGAGCCCAGCCTGCGTCATGACGTCCCCCCTATGCACATATGTAAACAGGCTGGGCTAACAAAGTGGGCAGAATGACAGTTTGGGGCAGAATGAAAGTGGACCTTTACCCCCTTTGACTAAAAATCACATCAGCTTCTCGGCCTTTTGGCTAAGATCAAGTGTAGTATCTGTTCTTATCAGTTTAAAATCTGATATGTCCCCTATCTGGGGACCATATATTAAATGGATTTTTAGACCAGGGAGATGGAAGAAGAGCTTGCTCTGTTCACTCCACGCGTGCACCAAAAAAAGAATCATCTTATAGTCATTAGCTAAACATATATTTTTATTTTACTTACAATTTATTTATTTTTTCCCACTTGCTGGCCCACTTTGGCCCAAATGATGTAATCGTTCCCAAGTGTTGCATCTTGGGAAGGTGATAGACCCATCATGCCTAGTGCCTACGGTACAAGCCTGTGGGGGCAGTGTTGTGATCTGGGGTTCCTTCAGTTGTTCAGGTCTAGGTTCAGCACTGTTATGTCCCCAAAAAAAGTCGTCACTGCTTACCTGAATATACTGGATGGCCAGGTTTTTTTTTTCTTTCATGATGGCACATTCATATACCTAAATGACAGTGCCAGGTTTCAAATTGTGAAAGAGTGATTCAGGGAGCATGACGTTTTCACACATGGATTGGCCACCATAGAGACCAGACCTTAACCCTATTGAGAAAATGTGACATGTGCTAGAGAAGACTTTACGCAGTGGTCCGACTCTCCCATCACTACAGCATCTTTGTGAAAAATGAATGCAACTCTGGATGGAAATAAATGTTGTCATATTGCTTACCAAAATGATGCCACGACGAATGCGAGCCGTAATCAAAGCTGAAGGCGGTCCAATTAAATATAAAAGCATTTGACTTTTTTGCCCAAGCACTGTATATGAAAATGAGTTGCTTTGTTATTCACTGATGCTGTAATCCCTTTAGTTATGATCCAGTTAGTGTATGCAATGATTCAAAGGTATTATCCCGAGTCACGGATAACACTATAGCTGTTTTGGCACTGTAATTTGACTCTGGGTTAGCCAGTGTCATCTTTTCATAATGCAATCTGTTTATGTAAATATACCGATATATAATCATTACACTGATGCAAAAAGAGAGATTTGCATAGCTAAATCACTCTGTTGCACATTTTGGAAATTGATTCCCGAATGTCTCTGTTGCATATCTGTCTTCCTTTTAATTCTCCCTCTTTTCATCCCAGCAAAGCCACCTTCTCCTGCTCTGTACAAAAGAAAGTGATGTCCCATAGAAGGTGCATAAAAATGGGATCCATATGCCCAGCTAATAGCTGCAAGTGAAGCCTGCACCTTCTGTAGAAAACATGCAGTGCAGAAATATTTTTTACAGGCTTTCTGGTTGTTTGGTGTAGCAAGGAGATGTTTCCAGCATGACAAACCAGATATGTTTTAAGATCACTAGATTATTTAAAAAGTGAACAGGGTGGGGTGCTACAGCAGTGCCTGCATGAATAACCAAAGTGTCTTGTCTTGTACCAGTACAGTTCTGATTGGCCAGTGAGAGAGAATTCCATTAGTTTAGACATCGTTTTTTTGAACTTGCTAATTTCACTTTAACCCCTTCACGACTAACTACATACAGTGTATGTCGCTAGTATCGGGGCTGTTTAAATAGAAAGCCACCAGGACTCTGTTTAAACTTGTAAAGCCAACTGTCAGCTTTACAATAGAAGCGATTCTGGCGACTCAGCTGTCACCAGATCGCTTCTACAGCCCGGTGAAGGCCCCCCCCCCAGCCATGCTTTCCCGGCTCTGTTGCCCCTCCTATGGGCCCGGTTTATCTGGTATCGGTGGGGAGCTGGGGTAGGAGATGGGCGAACCTCCATTCGTCGATCCCCTCCCCATTCAATGGGACCGGGAGCGATGCAGATTGCATCACTCCCGGTCCCATAGAATGGAGAGGGGATCGACGAAGCCCAGCTATAAGCTATTAAAGAGCAATCTGCATTTCAATAGCTTATTTGGAGTGTTTTGGACCCCCAGCATCACCTTAAAGAGTACTTGTCACCACCATCTGCTATCACATGGGGGGCTTGTAAGCCCCCCTTTGTGATGGCAATTAAAGTACAAAAAAAACAGTTTTTAAAATCTGAAAATAATTTAAAAAATTCTTATAAAGTCCTTGCCCCCGCGTGTTTTGGGGCATTTAAGTAAATTTTTCACTAAATGTGGGGGTTTAATAAGGAGTTGTGCTAATATCGTGCAACATAAAAATTTGCAACTGCTACCATTTTATTCTATAGGGTCTCGGCTTTCAGAAAATATATAATGTTTGGGGGTTTTAAGTAATTTTCAAGCCTAAAATGTGGAATATAACGCGGGTGCAAAAAATGGGGAAAAAAAGGTCTGTCATGAAGGGGTTAAGACAGGTTTCCTAAAATTCCCTCAGTAGCAGAGGGCTGACATTTAAAAAGCTGCCCATGAAAATAAGCTTGGATGACAGGAAGGTTGAAAAGCAATGCTATTCTTTTATGAACAAAAATGTTGGACAAGGTGATAGTTTTCAGCTTGATAAAGCTGACCATACACCATTGCAGCTTTGTTCAAACATTCATTCCAAATCGTTTCTTAGCATTTGACCTTGCCCTCATTGAGTCTAATAATTTTGTATAAAAGCCCTTAAAATTTTTGTCCAGATCTGCTACTTTAATGGAATTCAGTCAGCACTGCAGTCCAAAACAAATACCGACTAGACCTCTAATTAGAAAATTGAACAAAAGTTCAGAAAACAACAAGTTGTAAATGAATTTCTACTGGTGAATGGTCAGCTGTAGTCTTACAATCTCAGACATAAGGGGTTAATTGCAGTCTTCTAAATAATGCATTTGAGAAACAGAATTGTGTCCACAGCTTATTTTTTGGCCCCAATTTTTGAAATGGTCATGGTTTTCTTTTTAGTTTTTAAGTTGCATATAGTGTAAGATTCCGAGTAGAAATGTGTGATTTATGGTTGGGAAAGGGTATAATGGTCTGTTGAGCAACGTTTTTTCCCCCGTTGAAATTACATTTACATTGTTGAATATATACACACTACTAAAACTAAGTAGAACAGGGAATAGGAATTGGGTTGCGGTGTTAAAAGCATTACACAGGCCTAAAGCTTTCACCACTCCATTAAACTGTGAAAATGAAGCAGTACCTGACAAATGGAGCAGTACCTAACAAATGGAGCAAAAGCCAATATGTTAGCAGGGATCTGCTCCGTTTTCTATGCCGTGTCTGTGCTAGACACTGCATAGAGAACAAGAAAGCTGTAGTGACTTGCTCAGGCTCTCTCTGCCCATCACTACCTCAGCTGAGTGTGAGGGTTGAAGTCTTTTAGCCCTGTTTGCACCGAGGGTACTGCACAGGCTGAGAGCAATTTGAGCTTTCTGCCAGGTTACTGACAGTTCTGCCATTTCTTTTCAATATAGAAAACTTCTGGCAGGGATCTGCAGACGTTTTCTATATTAAAAACTGCCATGATCCCTTTGTGAATTAGGCATGGAACTCATGCAAGTTTCTATTTCGCTCTGAAATAGAAACTGACCAGCGTGGTGCAGGTCTATCTGCTTTGTTAATGTGGTGCATGCCACTTTTGCCAGTTTCCTTTACTATTATAATGGCGCAGGAAGCTTTGTTAATTACTCCCCATTGTTGCAAGAAAGTTTTATATACAATGTGTCATTATTATAGTTCTGGTTGTTGAGCTTTAAGCTTAAAGTATATTTCGACTTTTGCAGCCAAATTGGGGTAACGCCTACTTTGTTTTTGTGAAAAGGACACTGCTCATATTGGTATGCCCAAACATTAGGTGCCGGCAGACAGAGGTACACCACGGCCATCACTAGTAATCCAATGTATGCAAAGTTGCACTCAACAGCCAGGACTTCTGTAAAAAAAGTGTATTCCCAGGAATCTAAAACCTTACTAGCATAACAAGATCCACAGGCTCTGACATGTTTTGCCAAAAAGGTTTTATCATAGAGGCCATGATTTCCATAGTCTCTATGACTAAACCTTTTTGGCGAAACATGTCTGAGCCTGTGGATCTTGTTATGCTAGTAAGGTTTTAGATTCCTGGGAATAAACTTTGTTACATCGAGGTCCTGCTGTTGAGTGCAGCTTTACATACATTGGATCTACTTTTATATTGTTAAATTTTCCTATGCACATACCATAACGTAAAAAACATAATATAAAAATGGAAGCAGCAATTTTTTTTTTTTCAAGTGCTTTTTGCTGTCTTAAAATCCCACCTAACTTCCCAAAGTATGTAAATTAAGGAGGGTGCTGTGGGATGTTGTTTATCCATTTTCCTTGTTCTGTACCATGCTGGCAGACTTGATTTGTCATTTGAACACTCTGTCCAAACAAAGGGTTAAAGACTTAGAAGCATTGTATGTTAATGAGAGGAAGCTCAGTCTGTCTTTCACTTTTAAACTATTCGGTGTAGCCTGCAAATGTAAAATGTTTATTTTCTTTTTTTTTGGCATACTGTGTAAATAGAAACACATGGGGGGAATTTATCAAAGCCATTGCGACAGTTTTAGCTTCTTTTTTCCTTTTTAAATGTGCAAATCTGTCTTTAACATGTGCCCCTGTTTTTGACCAGAGCTTGCACTACTTTTTCAACTGTGCGTTTTTTGCACTTGTTTTGCACCGTTCTCATCTGCACTTGTTCTGCGGTTGTCTGAAACTGGAGCATCACCTAAGAAAACAATCACAACATAAGATGTCCCCATGACCACTTCAAGAAGCGACAGTTAAGCTTTTTGGCTGGAGTTACAAGTCTTTCTTGGAGTCTATTAAACTTCATTTATCAACAACATTACGCTAGCATCATAAATCTGGAGCTAATCTATTCCATGCAAGTTCAAACACTCGCAATTGCTATGATGAATTCCCCCCACTATGCGGTTTTCTTAAATTTCGCTGTGAAAGTGGAAATGCACTTTTTTGGTTCTTGAAAGTGAAAGTTTTATAATAACTTTTATCTTTGAACAACTTTTATGCACATGTTTCTGTCATTCAAAGTCCCACTGGAAATCTGTACACAATTAGGTGTGATTTAGTTACATTTAATATCTGAGTGAATGTTATGTTATCCTGCGGGTAAATCCATTGCAGTTACTATTTAACAAGCAGCCCTCTTTAATAATGTTGCAGACCACCCCAGTCTCTGTCGCTGTCCTGTAGCTTGAACCTTCTAAGCAATA